AGAGTGAGGTGAGTCATACCTTTGGGTCCCCGAGTTCAACATGTTGTGGTTTAAAGGGATGAGCGAGTCTCTGCTGTCAGGGTTGGATCTGGTTTGGTTCTGGCTCTGGCATGGCTTCTCCTGGAAGAAATCTTCAAACTATTAATAAAGTCTTTCCTTTTATCAAATCTGAGCACATGGGATTATCTCAAAAACACTGTCACTAAGCCTAATCATCAATTATCAAGGCTGTTTTTTTAGTCCCAGAAAAATAGACATTTTAGATACACATGGTTTTCACTGGAGAGCGACGTGCTCATTAATCCTAAAAGCACTGAATTAACATGATTAGCTGATATTAGCTGTCTTTAATCAAGCTTTGTGGTTAATTCACTTTCAAACAACTCTGAAAGGACTTTGGGAATTCAGAGTCGAGGAAACCTGGCTGACTTTCAAATTCAGGGCGACTAAGTGTCCAACTAAACTCCTGTTTTTATATGAATCTGTAGTGAAGTGAACAGCCTGCAGCCATGTGTCAGCATGCTGCTCTTTTATCTACTGTTAGCTCTCTGTTAGCTAGCAAGCTACAAGCCCAGAGTCAAAGCCAGCACCCAGGTGTCACAGGATACATGGAGCTGGTAAAACACAAGACTGAATGAATTGAATTTACCACACAAAGCTGTTTTTTGAAGTCACACTGCAACAGAATGTCAACAGCAGCTTGCTTCCTGGAAGTTGAAGTACTTCCTGTTGACAGAGGATGTTATGATGGGGCATCGTTAGCTTAGTGCTCTACCTTTGTTTTGGGATAGAATGGACACCATATGTTACACGCTGAATCAAATTCACCCTAAAACAAGAATACATTTAAACTCCTGGTTCTGTAACATGAAAAAAGTCATATCACAATATTTGTTAAGTAATTAAAACATTTGATTTTAAAATAATGCACTAATTGATGTCTAATTGTGTAAGATTATCCAAGAGGGAATTTTTACTCTTCATTTTTTACACACTTATTAATTCTAACCGTAGGCCAGAGACGAATCACATATTTTAGTTGACTATTGTTAAAATATTTTTAAATATTCCCTTTTACTCTGAAAGGGAGGTTATCTTGATTTCTCACAAACCATACCTGCAGCGCAATTTGATTTGAACATTTGTTACAGGTTGCATTCATATGCAAAAATAATAGCGCAGCATTTCATTTTTGAGGGACAAAGCCGCTTATTACTCAACTGCTGGCATAACATCCATTCACTGTGATTTTATTCCAGCGAGGAAAACAAATCCGACTGGTGCACTGAAATGTCTCTGTTGCATGAGGAAGTGTCCTTTCATCCAGCACAAAAAGGTATTATTTCACAGCTCAGCTGTATGTGCACATACTCAATTACGTCTCCTGTAGCTCTGAGCTTTATAATGAAAGAGCCCTGAATTACAGCACAGAGAGATAAAGTGACCAGCGTAAGCTTCACGATTTCCATCTTAATGTATTTATCCGCGTCTGCACTGAATATCAAAAGGCCTCAACGCACCTCGTGTGTTTCTCTTTTAAGGCACTGCATCACTTTGAAAGAGTTACAACCTGAAGTAATTTGGGCCTATTCCCTTGGAAAATCCTCCCGGTGTGTCCTTGAACGCTGAGCCTGCAGTGTGAACAGCCATAAGGCTCTCATTTGTCATCTGGATTGTGTCTCAGTTCCCTCCAGAGCTTGCTTGTTGGGACAGCATGAGGACTGCTTTATCGCTTGATGTTTAGTTGCTTTTAATAAGAAAAATAGAGGTGATGCGGCTTTCTTTTCATTCCTCACCTATTTATGTTTCCAGTTCCTCTCCCTGTTGTTAGAGCACAATGTTTTCCTTAAGATGCTCCCAACTGACCTCATCTTGAATTCATGAAACACAAGTCAGCAAGTTCTTGAAGATATTAGGAATCCTCAGTCACTCCTCTTTGTGCCAGTTAATAGGGTCATATTGAGCTTGACAGATGTGAATGCAGGACAAGTTGTGTTACAGCACATTCAGCTGTAGCTCCAAATGAATGAGGACGCGAGCACGTAATGGCTTTCATAGAAATGCTAAGTGATGCGTCTCTGCTGAACTCACTGATAGAAATGCTTATGACAGACGTACTGGGGACTACAGGAATCTGCTGAAAAGTCAAACGCACCAAACCGAGGCACGCTGCCAAGCGTGTTCACCTTTTCAACTCTTCTTGCAGATCTTGATGGAGCCGTTCTGCTCTCAGCATCCATAGTCATTTAAATATTTGCATCCATCCTTCGTCACACGGCTTTACCTGCAATGTGACTAGCGTTTTAAAATATGACTTGTCAAAAACAATATCCATCTTCTAGCAATAACCTGCGGTATTTATAAGTAATGCTACTTTGCTGCTCCCACCAACTGTTAGTGATATTGATACAAGCTTCACCCAGGTGAAGAAAGGTTCTCGACTTTATACTCCAAATGAATTAAATCTTATTTCCTTCTTTCTGATGACGTTTCAATTCCTTCTGGGAACTTTTTTCAGGCTCACATTACTTAAGAAGCAAGGACAAATGATTTTTCGGTCAAAGCGACTAGTTCAAGTGACATTTTTGCAAGGATTGAAACAAAACTGAATGAAATCGCAGGATCCTTTGGAGGATTTGATGACTAGCATCGCTCTGAAGCGGTGTGTTTTGTTAGTGAGACCTCCGTTGATGTTACAGAAAAACTCCAAAGTCAAGAAATCCTGCTTTTGGCTGTTCTGCGAGTGACTCAATATCAAACTCAGGTGAAACATTCCATCACTGCTGGGTGTGGTCAGAAGTGCAACAAAGGGTGCAAACATACTTTTATGCCTTGACAGATTTATTGTATCCTACTTCTTGAATGGGGATTAGTCGGAACACATACCTGCCGCCTCCCATCCTCTCTCCTGTCAAATCAGAGGAGTCGGCCCTCTGCTGGGAGAGTCTGAAATCAAGCAGATTAAGGTAGCAGAGGTTTACCTGCCAAAAAAGCTCCCCACTGGATTTGCACATGAGGCGAAGAGTTTGGGCGCGCTCCACTTCCTCGCATGATGGCAAAGTTTTAATTCAAGTGTGGAATTCTGCAAGCGGGCATTTAAGTGCATGCATGCTTGTGAGCGTACGAGAGAGAAAACTTCAACAATGACGGGGAGATTTCTTCCCACACTTCCCAAACTTCTCTTCTAGTTGGGACTGTCAGGCTACAGTATCATGGGAGTCTCTGCAAACGGAAAGATTAGGGGAGAAATATTACCTGAAGGCTTACTGCGCTATCTTTTCACATGGTGTGTGACTTTCCAGTGGCATTCAATACACTCAGTGTTTGCTTTTGTGTGTGTTTGTGTGTGGTCCGACGCTTCTGTTTGTCTGGCTTCCTGTGGGGGGGGGGGCAGTAATCACCTGACAGGCTACCACGTGACAAACTGAAGAGAAGACTTCGGTGTCTTTAACTCATCCACACCCAGCGCCCCCCCTCCCGACAGAGCGGCCAATATCGTCCTCTCTGCATTTCTTCATCCAAATGAGACTGTTTGATGTGCAGACTTCCTTTGAGCCACTGTTTGAGACGAAGTTGAAGTTTGTTCCCCTTGTTAACAGAGGCCCTTGCAGCCAGGATCCAACAGGCAGCCCACTGCTTTTCTCCCTCCCTCTCGTGGGAGGGAGACGTCTGAGAAATGTTATCTGCTGACTTCAAATGAGTCCTGAAGAGGGGGCAGCTTTGTCAAGGAACACTGAGTCTCCTCCGTGCTATTCAGAATTGTTTTAATTCCTCCTTTGAGCGGGGCTTCTCAGTCTCTCTGTTTTTCATCATTAAAGCGCTTCTACTGTTTCAAGGAAGGGAGGCCAGATTTAGATGCAACACAGTTACCAGTTAAAATGAGAGTAATGGAGGTTTAGGAATGACCTTGATGAAAATAGCAGCCAGTCCTCTGGAAAAATGAGCTCTGCCGACTTCAACGGCGGGAAACAAATTAAAAGCTATTAAAGTGGAGAAGTCTCCTTTATCTCGCGGTTGCACCAGACAACAGCACGCCCCGTTACAATGCAGAGGATTATAATGAAATGTTCACCCAGCATCAGTATCGACGACAACATCTTTTCTCCTCGCGGTGGTCAGTGTTACATTACCTCACAGTCAATTACATTTGACATTTTGTTTAATGCTCCCACTTCTCATTTTATATTTATTTAATCTCTCACTCAGTTTGTTTTTAATATCACATGGATGAAATGGGCTCTGGACTTATTAGTAGCCTTGTTTGTTGCCTGAAAACTTAAAAAGTTAAAGGTTATTTAAAACAAAAAAGTCGTACAATTCAAGCATATTTTGAGCTTAAAAAGGCAATACCTCTTCATCCCTTGTTTTTATTTTTATTTTTTTTCATGGATGCATGTAATCAATTATTATTTTTCTCTTGGAGTGAGCACCATCTGATGTTTGTTGTTCCTTCTGTGCATTGTACACTGTACCTGAATACCATGTGCACCAACACTACATACAGCTGAAAAATGGACAAAGAAAGCAACTGTCTGAAAATGCATGTTATGTTGTTGAAAACTAAATAAAAAGTGAGTTCAAAAAAAAAAAAAGGCAATACCAGTATTTTACACGAGGCTACAATGACATGTTTTTCTTCTAAAAGTTCAAACCTAAATAATGATTCTGATTGTGTGTGGAAGCAGATCAACTGCCCTTTATGGGAGTTACAAGCAACATTATCCCTCCAAAATGTACCACTATCTATCTATCTTTATGCTAAGCTCAGCTAAGTGGCTGCTGGCTTTAGCATCACATTGTCCCAAATATCTATTTTTTCATCTACTGCATCACTCTACTAAAATGTTAAAGCATCATCTTAAGGTACTTTTGAACAAAATAAAGTAAAATACCTTTGAAAGCTGCTCAAAAATTCTTGTGTGATCCTTCTGCACACCCACAAAACAAGCTGGAGAGCCACTGAAAAGGCAGAAATGAAACAATGAATGGCAACGTCTCACTCTCTTCTACCAGGACATGTTTATTTACAGCTGCAAATGACAGGAGTCACAAGTGTTCCACAGGTACGTACAGAGAGACATCAATAGTTCCCACGTCCTGCACAAAGCACACTCAGCAGGGACAGTCCAAGGGACAAGGGAGCATGGGGACAAAGAGGACACACACTGTACACTGAGCTCAAGCACACCTGTTTTACCCCCTACAGAAAAAGGACAGAGGCATGGAGGAGGAGGAGACAGAGAGGACAAGAGGGGGAGAAGGAGAGGATAAGAAGGGCAGAGGTTGTGTATTTAGACTCATATTCAAATACAAAATAACATGTACAAATCGTATAGCCTCCAGGCACTGTGCTCCCATATTTACAGTCATCGTAACAGGCAGCGGAACCACTCCATGGTTGGACCATCCATTTGAGATATGCAGGTACAAGGGCTCACTGGGGGAAAACAAAGCCGGTGCTATGAGGTCTGAGATAAAAACGAATGATAGGGAATGGTGGCGAGGGGGGGGGGCAGGGGCGGCTGCAGGTGGGGCTCGCAGACAAATGCGTGGACTGCTGCAGCCTGGGGAATTAATCACTGTCGAGAACTACATAATCAGTTTGTACCTATCAGAGCGCACTCTGAAACTCAGGGTGAGAGCTCTCACCAACTCAAAGAGGAACACACTCACAGCACTCGGACATTCATACTTGGCACGTGGTCACCCATAACGTACTGAATAAGACTCGCAGAGCTGCATCATGAGACTGAAAAGTGTACTCAATATTACACTTTGTATCTAATATAAATAGATAATTAAGCTAACAAATAAATTACAACAAAATAAATGGCAGAATAGCTTAAGATTGAATCTTAAATTTCAGGTATTATTTCAAATTGTGAGACTGTTATTGTGAAATATCTAGATTGACTTACAGTATGTGCAGATACATTCAACAGACATACATGCAACCTGATGACAATATTCACTCACTCATGCATGTATGCACACACACACACACACACACACACACACACACACACACACACACACACGCTGCATTAAAACCAGATTTCTGCAGCCCATCACTCCAGAGTTACAGCTTCAACCTGACATCTAGTCGCACTAGGTAGTTACACACGTCTGTTTCTGTCCAGTGCTGTCGACTACAATCCACAATCCTAAGACTGCATTTCCCAGAATTCACAGCACCACGATAAAAACTCAATCTTCCGACACATTCTGTGGCGAAAAAAAGCAGCACGATCAAAAATCATCTGAAGGTCTCCACTGCTACAGCGGCATTGGGCCACAAGGGGGGAGGAAAAAAGAGAGAAGGCACACTAATGCCGTAATTACCGTCTCCATTGAAACACCGTGAAATAGCCTTAGGGCATGGATTTTCTTGAGGGAAAGCAAATGACTAGAAAAAGCAGTATTACACCATCACCGAACTTTGGACTAAAACACAACAGAAGAAGAAAAAAAACAAAAGAAAAAAGACCTAACAGCTTTAGCTTTAGCAGCCAAAAAAGCCAAGCCTCTTGCATTTTGAAAAAAGACACATCCTTTAGGGTATATTTACATAAAAGCTCTGTAAAATATTCTTTTTTTTTTCACCTATGTACAACACATGACAACATCAGAGAGAATAGCAATCAGACCAGGAAACCAAACAAGGTTTTGAGAAAAACAAATGCATCAGAGGCCGATCTGAGACCACGATGAATAAAGAAAGGTAACATTAAAAACATACATGATACACATATTGATTTATTTCTCATCAGCAGACCTTAACTCGGTTGGTCCCATGCCTTGAGTCCCACTATTCACATAGCAACAATTACATGACACCACTCAGGGCATTTGTGGCCTTTAACACATCTAGTTTTTTCATTACTCAAGCTGCACACCACAGCGCACATCAGCATAATGCAGTTTGAACACAGATGAATAAAACATACTTATGCACATACTGTTAGAGAATGAGCGTCAACAATATTTAGAGTTAATATAAAAGAAGTCACTAACAATGGCATCAATGCACATGTGTGGTATTATGCTGTATACTTCCTGCAACACAAACCATGATCCACAGTAGCCCTCCAGAAAGCATTATTCATCAAAATATCAAATCCCTCTTCATAATGAATCAACAAATCCTGTTTGTTACAATTTTTATATCTTGAAATGTTAGCGGGAGCGAATGCCTCTCGCTCTCCTGAAGCAACACAACTGAAGTCAGCTAGCTTGAAGCGGCAATGCTTCAGTCCGAGTGGGGGCTGATGTATCATTATATAACTGCACGAAAGTCCGATGTAGGTTGTAAATCAAAAGTTATGAACCAAAGTGGGACAAAAAAAATAAAGAAAATACAATCATTGATCAACAAGAGCCTTCCACTAATGCCATGTTTGTTAAGAACATGATACATTTATCACTCTGGGTGTCTAAAAGGTTGACCCTTTCTCTCTATTTTCTCCCTATTATTTGTATGTACACATGCCTGTCACTGGGGCATTGTTATAAACAGATGTGGTATTTTCCAGTGCTGTGGTTTCTCTGGGTTTTGGTCTCGTGATCCGAATGTTCTATTGGTGGCGAGGCGACCCTTTTTTTTAGGCTTTGCTGATGAAGGGCTTTGTGTGGATGCTGTTGTCACTGTGCACTTTGATTTCAATCATATCCGGCTTGAGAGACTCTTTTCCATTTTCTTCCTTCAGCGGGAGCTTCCTGTGGTGGGAAAAAAGCAAAGAAAGAAAAACCAGAAAATTATTTGAGATTTGCACATCATTGCTGGGTAATTACAGGAACTCAAAGCACACATACAATTAATGTGAACAGGCACAGAATGGTGAGTGACCACCTAGAGGATGTTTTTGGATGAAGCAGGCACATACAATAAATTTAAGGTTGTTTTCTTGAAATATCTTCGTAATGAAAAATTGTTATTTCATATTCCAGGTATTCCTCAAAAAACATGTTTTTGATATAATGCCATTTACATTTTCAACTTACCTTTTATACATTTTAAGAAATTGTAGTTTTTGTATTACTACCCCAAGCTTCCATAAGTGGGTCAAAAATGACGCATGCATTTTCTATGGAATCCAATGGGAACCTTTGATTCTTATCAACTGTGGCTGTCAGGAATAAATTAACTGTGGACCACACAGACTATATCAGAAGTGTCACCCCTCAGGAAGATTATTTTACACAGCAAGAGCTGATACGTGTAAGTATTATCTTCATATAATATTGTGTGTGTCTTTCATGACTGTTATTATTATTTATCAACAAATTAGCCTACTTTATAACTAGCTAGCTAACTAAGATAGCTAACATTACTATATGTATTGTGTGTGTGCGTGTGTCATTCATGATTGTTGTGCGAAAGAGTATGTTATTATTATTTATCAACAAATTAGCCTACTTTATAACTAGCTAACACTAGCTAGCTAACTAAGTTAGCTAACATTACACACATACACACAGACAGACACACAGACACACACAATGTATGTTCACATTTTTCTATTGCTGTTCTGGATAATTTTCTTTTTCAAAAATGTTAAAAAGTGAAAAATAAAGATATTTCAAACATGAAATCATTCTTGTGTGGTCCTAAATATAATACTAAATATTATACAAGTGATTACTCTTAACCAAAATGACAAAAATGGCATAAAAACACATTGATTCTACTATCATGTCATTTTTGACCCACTTATGGAAGAGTGTAGGGTCTAGTCACTCTTAATGGTCTTGCTTTAGAGCCCACCAGTAATCACCTTTCAGACCTTTCGGTGCTTGAATGAGTTGCCCCCTTTGGGATTAATCAAGCTGAATGAAATTGAAGTGAAAAGGCAGCAGGGATATTAAATATAAAAGCCTCTACAGGGATGCACACAGACCTAAAGAAACACATTATTCATGTTCATGCTTCACTTTGACCTGGATGGCTGGACACCACATCGATGCATAGATATCTGCTGGCTGAGGAAAATGCTGTGCATGAAAAGTCACGACCAAACATGACTTGGCAGCCATTTTTGCTAGATTCTCTGGGCAAAGAAAGATCCTGGGGGGCGATCGCGGTCTTGGTTAAATACTGAAAAAGTAAATGCTGACTATAAGCACCAAGTATAGGGCTTGCTTAATTTAAATATATTAGGGCAGGTCCATTATATTTTGAGGTTATTATATAATTCTGTAGCTCCAGACTTCATTCACAAAACAATCATTTCACCTCACATACAGCCCCACTTCAAAGAATCTAAACTAACCCTTTCAGTTATTTCCAAAGTTGGCACAGCTGATGTTGACGAGCTTACTTTTGGTAACCTACATCACTGCTTTTTGCTAAACGGCTGGGTTGGTGTTTCCTTTTGAAAAAATCGGAAAAAAACACGTGTTGACGACTCAACCTTTAATCACATCTTAAATCTTTTTCTAGCCTTATCCAAAGTGTTTTTGCAGCCTAAACCTAAACACACGTGAGACGCAGACCACCCATAAAGTCCCAGGAGTACTGATCCGACTCCGGGTCTCCAGTATAAGAGAGCTGCTCCACAACATTTGATCAAAATGACCCTTTCAGAACATCACCACTGGCTTTCCTTTGTCCTGGTTTGTCACTGTTCTCTTAGCGTGGCCCATTGCCGTTACCTTTTGAGTGTTGCACTCTCATTTTTCTGCCTGTGTCGACCTGAATAACATCACCCCAGAGCTGGCACATCTCCCATTTGCTTTTGATTCATTTTGAGGGAATAAGAAAAAAAAAAAGAGATAAAATATACATTGGTGTGTTATTAAGCACAAGCCATTTGATTGGCTGGCTGCCTCTTCTCAGGTATCATGTTCTTCTCATCTAGTTTCCAGTAATTCAGCAGGAGGACATCACAGCTTTATCTTGATGATAATATGGCCACAAGATGAAAAGCTAACCAGGATGAATTTCTAGTGATATGATGTACAAGAGCTTTTATCTGCATTTGGTACAAAAAACAAATTTATCCTATGGCAGTTAATACAGAGAGTGGGTAAAAGTCAGATAGGAATAATACAGTGGCATAGTGTGACAATTTCTAACATTTACTAGAGCTTGGTACGAGGCATTCCTATTGTAACACTCATACTGTATTTGGACATTTAAGGCCCATAATTAGACAGCAGGTATTTAAAAAAGCTATATAAATCCTCCTTCTATGCTATTACATGTGGCTTATTGTTGTTTGAATGCTTTATCTACATAGTTGTAATATTTGATGCATTTATAGCAGGACACACATTTAAAATAATTGATCAGCAAAGAGTCAGTTGTATTTGCTGCAGCCACTAAAACACTGAAGCCTACGAATAAAACAAACACTTTTTGACAAACCAACAGGGACACATTCGTAGTGAAAATATCAACCGTACATGCACCAGTGTGAAATGAAAAGTTGTCTATCTTTTGTCGTTTCAATTTGGAAATAAAGCCCTGTGCTGAATTTCCAGCTAGGGACGTGTTGAGGCAATATGTCGCCCAGCAGAAGCTTGCTCCTATGGCTTAACAACAAAAGACACAGACAACAATAAACATTGAAAGGGCAAAATATGAAGGTATTGAGTTTCAGCCCCTTTCTGCCCATCAAAGCTTCAAAATCCGGTCTTCTACGGTGCATCTTTTGGGAAGGTTTAACACGGGGAATCAATAAGGAACTGGATATACCTCTTCACTGCCCCTCATTTCCAGTGTTTTTCTGATTCCGTCAGGAGATTTGGAGCAAGGGATTGTATCACGAGCAGAGAAAGCCGATGTAGACTTAAGAAGATCTGTATCAGGCGACCAGCAGGCCGCTATTAGCACACTTTAGCTGAGGGCTACTCATTTCCTGAGTTCACAGGGTTGTCCTGCTTCTCATTTCCAACTCCTGTGAATCATTCAGGACTTGTTCGTCACCTTGCTCGAAGAAGCATAAACCATCAATCCGTCGATGCCGCTTGACTCGAGGTTCTGCTCCATCTCCTCTCTTAGCCATAAAATAGAGAATAATTTGCATTTTCAAGGTTTCATGTGCTCTGACAGAGAACAAACTCAAAATATTTAACTGGGTCGCAGAAAATACGAGATCAAATGTCTTTGGATGTTTCATATATTAATCCATGAGTGGAATTTAAAACTTCCCTCATTTGAGGTTTGACTCTGGCAATGTAATATTCAACTTCAATTGCATTTAATCAAATATTAGATAGGAATTAGTTAGTAACGCATAAAATGTATGTGATGGAGCTTTAAATAAAGTATTTATACCTGAATTTAAAGCCCCAATGTTGCCCGAGTGTCAATGATTTCACAATATTGGATTTTTTACGAAATAAACAGTGAATAGTCAATTTCAAAAGGCACAAACTCATCCCCCAAATAGTCATGCTAGATGCTTGCCAACGCCAAGGGGTCATGAATGTAGAGATCATGAATGTAAAACAGTAGCCCTGCGTGATACTGAACTGTAATAAGCCCAAATATTTCAGCTGGCCAGAGGGGGGTTCCCCTTTGGCTGATTGGTGGATGGTAAAGTTGCTGCACAGAGGAACCAATTTCATGTCCCATTAGCTTCATGCAAACCCAGATTGGTTTTCTCAACATATGGGAAGGTCTTGCCGCCTGATGTTTCCTCTCTCTTGAGTGTGGATGCCAAATCAAGGACACCGCTAATACATTCAGTGAACCAACATATCAACATATTTTTTCATTAAAAAGTTGATACGCTGGGGAATTAACTGCTGACGCATCAGTAAATTTGAACGCAACACACTCTGCTGCCCCCTGTGTGATATTTTACTCCTCTGTTTCACTGAACATGACACATTCCCATCTCATCAAAAGTAACACTCAATATCGACTGGAAGACATGTGATGTTTGATCCCCTGCGTTTCTTACACTCTGGTTTGTTAGGTTCAGTCGTATCCCCACAGGCAGTGTCACTTTGCATGCAGACCTATGGAGAATGACAAAATGTAATAATTAAATTGTAGGTGATGGCAGAGATTTTTCTAGCTTATTATAAATTCATGATATGTGTTGTATTAGATAGTGATTCCACTCATCAAAAACACTGATTCACAAACTAATGGCAAGAAAAATATTCAGATTCATAGAGAAGGGCAGATGGAAGACACGTCAACTACACAGCTCATATTGCACCAAACACAACAGAGACCGCAAGAAACGCCATCAAAAAGACAGACACTCGAAACATCGAACATTGAAAGGACCGCCTAGAGTGGGGAGCACCAGAGGAGCCACTGTAACAAAGCCTTAAATATCTGCGTTACTGACAGTACTCAGCTTCACTAGCATCTGGCTCCTCTCGACAGTTGGTCCTCTCTGTAGTTGTGTGTTTGAGTAAACAGTTGTTTACACACTGAGTTCCTCTCTTTATTCGTTTCATACCACATATTGTTAGTGGACAGAAAATGAATCCAGCACTGTATAAATAATAAAGTTATCATATCGCAACCCAATTGATGTATTAGCATGCAGTGTTTGGCACAGAAAAAGAAAGTTATTTATTTCCCCATGTCTATCGCTGCAGGATACAGGAACCTTAACTATAAGCTATCCTCCTGTCATTTCCTGCCATGAGTCATCAGAGTATGAAGACACTCCGTCAGTGAGCGTCTCTTCCTCTTCTAACCTTTGACGCCTTAGGAAACGGCAAACTGTTCACTGACGTCAGCACACACCTCTCCTGCATCGCCAGAACATGTAAACTGTCACTGTGTCGTTATACGGTATCATATTGTGTCAATATATGGACAGACTTCAGAATCTGGATTAAAAAAGCAATTTAAAGCATTCAACATGAACCTTTTGTGACCCGATAGTTGAACATCAGAACTATTCCAACAATACCAAATGCAGTTCTGTATTCGAGTCTAGACTGAACTTCTGTGTGACGCTGGCCCTCAGGGGCTTGGGAGGTGAGTGAAGGGCCAGACTGGTGCGCAAATCTAATCCTGGATCACTGACAGGATGGGACTGGATTTGCCACTGAAACTATCACCATCAGTGAATATGAAGAAAAATGCCTCGAGACAGAGCTGACAAAAAGTGGGAGCAGAACCAGAATTATAGACAATGAGACTTGCAAAGACTTGAAAGTAAAAAAGTAGATTTTCGGCCACTTTTCGGCGTAGGTCTTAAAGGGATTTTTTGAACAGCAGACTTGGAGTCAGATCCGCTGCACAAACCACTGTTCTTTTTCATCTGCCCACTGGACCCACTGACAGGAACTTACACTTAACGCTCAAAAAACTGGAAGTGAGGATTGACTTTTGAAGACAATTGGGCCACTGTTAACACCTTTCAACTTTTTTTATGAGACATTACAAAGCCCAGCGTGTCCCGGCTGATCTTTTCCGCTGATGGTCCGCTAGTCAGCTCTGGCTCAGAGTTAAAACCGCACTGCGAGGGCACTTGGCCGCTCCCTGCTAGGCTTCAGCACCACATCGAGGTGCGAAACCAGGCGGAGGAAGACCGACAGTGTCCTCGTCGACCCAGAAACCCGTGTTTTAAAAGTTTGTCAGAGCCGCACCACCTGTCACCTCCGGATTTCCAGCCCACACACTTACACACACAAAGACTTCTCAGCTCACACCAACACAAACAGCCTCTAATCTGTGCCACTTATCACCCTCATGCTATTCATCACTGTGTACACTCGTATCGATATCATTGATATTGCTGCGGAGCGTTTGCTGGTCTTTGCAACTTATTACCACTAAGTATCTTCAGACTGGCACTATTGGCATCTGGCAAACTCAGTAGGAGGATCGGAGCGTTCTATTATCTCAAGCGACATCTCATTATGCACACTTCATCTCAGTGCTATCGATGTTTAGATGGTTACAGCGATACTTCATTCCTCCCACACTAGCTCAAAGAACAATTCTATAAATTATGAAACAAATTTCTATGCCGATGAAGAGCATTGCAACAGCGTTACAATACAGACTAACAGGACGACAAGTCTCCGCATAGCTAGTTAGGTTTTAACAAGTATTTGCATGTTCTGAAATGTGCATAAAGTCACATGTAATCCCTCATTGCACTGACTATGGATAAGTGCCTCATACGACCCCATTTAAAAACATCCAAACTATGCCCTTTAAGGTCAGTTAAGTCGATACCCCTGATGATGTCATTGGGGTTATCTCTGTATGAGCTTAGAATTTAAATTCATAACAGAGAACCTGAGTTATAAACTGTTGTATGATTTAAAATATGTAGGGATTAAGCTGTCAGGCAGGTCCTAAATAACAGATTGCATGATGGGAAATGTAGGATGCCGTGTATCTGGACCTTGCTGGAGATAAAAGGTTGGATATCTCAGCCTCTGCTGCAGTGAGTAGGACCACTCTTGTTTACATTTGCCTTATTTTATGTGCAATCCTACATTTCTGGAGTATCCCTTCAATTCTTTTATACATTTGTTATTTTTTAAAGTATAATTTTATCTTTTACAATGTGTTTGTTTTGCACTTTGTCTCGATGCTTTGAATGTTTCATGTAAAGCACTTTGCACCGCCTTGTCTCTGAAACGAGACATATAAATAAACTTGCCTCGCCTCAATTTGGTAAACAAAATGTTATTCCAACAATCGTCATCCAAATGCCCCGTGAACTCATGTTAAAGCATGAGTCAGCATGTATCTGCATCTCAGCAACAACGCTGCTGGAGAAAAATCATCAACCAAATGAATAAACTCTGATAATCAGACCCAGATTGTAAAAATAATACATATTTTACCTTTGACCATTTTGCACCGTTCTGCTGCAATTTATGTGGCGATCAGTGCCGTGCTGTATGTCTGTGAGTCTGCTTTGTATTTGTGATGCGACTGCGCTAAACTACCAAGTCTAATATAGCCATAAAGAAGCTGTAGTAGCAACGTGCAGCCTGTAAATGCCTGTGTGAGTTGCCGCTACAGTACCCGCTCTAACATAAAGCTGAAGCACATTCATGCTGTCTGGGCAGGCAGGCAGCCACCCAGCCCTCCAGCACGAAGAGCTTAGTGACTCAGCAGAAGTCAAATGCACCCCCTTCCTCCTCTTCTCTTTCTCTGTGCCCTCTCTCTGCATCCCAGACACTGGCTTGGCACACTGACAATGTTAACACACAAATGGCAGAGCCTGAGGCCAATGAATCAGACTCTGTGGGCGCAATCTCGCGAAACCTTGGTTTGCCTTGCACCCTGCATTAAATAACACCGAGTCTAAATCTAAAACTCTTTTGTACTATGAATTTCATGGGGGTAGGCTTTCAAATTGCATGCTGCCTGATGAGAGAGAAAGAAAAGGTAAAGTATGCGTTTGCTCTTCTTGGACATGCAGTGTGCATGAGACGTTTGTGGGTCACTTATAGACTATTACATGCATGAACTACACAAATATACAGAGATACAAACAGGAAGCATTACCATGCACATAAAGTTAAGATTAAATACATGCACGTCATGAATGTACACACAATGCATGCAAGCGGGACTCTCCCAAGGTGAACTCACTGCACAGACATGTATGAGACGCACTGATGTTAGTGAATAAGACATAATTAAAAACATACTGTGGTTGAAAAGGTGGTTGGGCGGCTCTTGTACCTACACAGTAGATGGTACAAATAAGTCTCCTTTTCTAAAAAAATAAATAATAATAATATAAGAAACACAAACTCACAGGTAGGCGGCCTTGCCCTCTTCTATATCTTTGCCCTTGCCGCTCGTGGTGGTTTTCTTGCTGCACAGCGTGCGCGTGATGCACATCAGCAGGCCGCAGTGACGCAGGAAGAAGCAGCTGACATCCACCAGCACGAGGAGCAGCAGCAGCGCTCCCAGGCCCAGGCACACCACCATCCCCAGCCCCAGGCCGCTGAACAGGGATTCTGCTGAGGCAGTGAAACACACACGCAGACACACACAACACACAACAAGGGGAAAACACTGTTAGCAATTTTGGTTCATATACTAAGATGCACACAGAAGTTGGGGGTCAGGTGTAGTGCGGCATGACTGGAGCTGGTGGATATTCAACGTCTCACTCAAGGACGTGACCTCAGGTTGGATGCCTGCAGAGACGACGCCTGACCTCGAGCTGAAGGCGAGCCTCCTCGCCTCGCCTCCTCGCCTCGCCTCCTCGCCTCGCCTCCCTCTACATCCATACATGGAGGGGGAGAGCTCACTCACCCCGACAAAACTTTTTGCTGTTGTTACTTTCAAAACCACTCGAAGGTCAATGAAATCCTCCGCAGTCAGTTGGAGGGTTTCCAACATCTAGATAAGTCCTAATCCACAACGCCGGGACTCCACACAATCCTCAGTGGACCATCTTGATTATTTGCGTGAATCCACCAAATCTTCTCCAAAACAAAGGCGTTTCAGCCTTACAGACGTTTTGTATATGCAGTCAATGGAAAGAAAGTTTCCAAGACTTACATAAATGATTAAAGGAGATCTACAGCGCACTGAAACAGGTGGAATAGGCTTTACTTGGTGCTTTATTTGTATTATCAGAAGCTCTGCAGCTTCCAACTTTAATCTTTTGACAAAACCACATTATGAGCATTTTCGAGGCCTGAAACTACGGAACAAAACACTGTATTTACCCTCAAACCCCTGCATCTTCCTTCTCCGTCATGAGTAAACACCTCTGGTTTCCACAGGTGCAGAAGTTGTGTGGACTATTCAGCTATATATTGAACCACATTGCAGCTCAAAGTAGCAAGCGTCAGCATTACCATACTGATGCTTCAGCTCTGTGTCCACTGGGCGCCCCCTTGATTCCGTAGCTTGCAGCACTAAACAGATTCACGTGGGAGGCAAAGTAAGAAAAGTTGAAATGCGTTCTCTCGGAGCGGTCAGCCCTCAAAAACACACTGAGCTCTCAGCTCGGTCGGGAACAAGCAGCAGAGGCCCGCATTCAATTGAAAGTAATGAGAAAATGAAGGCAGTGCAGCAAAGAGGGGCTCCCAGTGGGCACAGCTGAATGGAGTCGTGCCCTTAAGTGATCCTGGGGTTGAGCAAACTGAGCATCCACTGTAGCATCGCTGCTGACAGCTGGAGGTCAGACCTTGCCAGGAGTAATCAGCGACGCAAGAGTGAGTGTGAATGAACTTTGCTGCTTAAGAAGGCTCTTATATGGGTGTTCAGTAGCCTGTGAGTTAAAAGGAGGATCAGACATTGATATGAAGGTGCAAGTGCCCAGAGACGGCCGGAGCAGTGAAGTCTAACACCTCCCAGTTAAAAAAAGACCCCTAATGTGTGGCAAAGCAGTGAGCTGAATACAGAAGATGTTGTCCCACGTACATTCAAGCCTGAATATTGTATGATTCACTTCAATTCGTCAAGACTCTGTTTTATGGTTATTCGTTTACTTTGGAGACGAGAGAAAAACAAAGTCTTCCTCAAGAACTCAAGGTAACACAGGAGGAGGAGGAGTTATTGATATCCAGATGGTCATTTAGAGGGTGAAGCATTCCTTTAATGCACTTCCATTCAATTTAGAAGAGTTGCCAGAGACGGATTCAAAAAAAACAGGTCAAAATGTGTGCAGAAGCCAAGATAGCCTGACTTTTAGTCACTTGTATGGATACATTTCCCATAATGCAGCTCAACAGTCTTTCATTTGACTGGATCTGTCTCGGAAATATCCAATGTCTCAGTTTATCAATGAAAGCTTTGTGTTAAAAAATACATCATATGAGATATTACAAGTGTTTGATCTTCCCGTGTAGAATCAGTTGAGTGTCCCTTCAGGATTATAATCTACAAACATGTAAATCTGTCATTTAGCATTTGGACAGTGGCACAAGTATTTACGTGTTTTCTATGGTTTCATGCTGTCTGATCCAGCACATTGGACTCTCAATGAAACAACGGCAATGAAAAATCCTTAAATTAAAACCCACAGCTACAGTTTCATTTCAAATCCAGTGTGCTGGAGCACTGAGCCAAAACAACACATTCCCAAAGACTCTGTGCTCCACATTGAAAGTTGTCACCGCGTGTCACAAACCCAAATGAGTCTCGTGTCAGTGACTTTGTTCTTGACTTAGAGCTGAGACTGCAGACAACGGAGACTGGCAGCGAGTCAAAGCACAGAGAGACGAACAGAAAGCCGGGGAGCGAGGGAACCTTGCAGCAAAAGGAACTAATTAAAACACTTTGCGTTTTCGTGAAAGCCGTGGATATGGGATTTGAAACTTGCAGGCTGGATCAATATTTTCCCAGCGCCACAGGCTAGTTCTGTATCTCACCTCTTGAAAGTTTATCTGAGTTAATTTGGCTGCTGAAGCCACAGATTCAGAGGCGGTAAACAACCCGTCTCCAGCTCCCCTGAAGCATTCACATACTCCAGCAGACAAAGAGAATACTAATCCAATCGTTCAGCCACACTTCCCTCGTCTTCATCAGAAGACTGCAGTGCCCTTAAGCTTTCATATCGCTGTTTACATTTTTACATCTCATAAAGCCCTTGTCTAAATAATGGAGCACTTACAATAATATTAGTCAGAATTCTTGTATCATATACAAAAAACAACATTCAAAAAATACAGTGGTTCCTGTGATACTAAAGTTATTAATGCGAACATAAAAAACTAAAGTTTTACTCCTAAATTGAAAACTGGAGGGAATGCCAAACGTATTAAGGAGAGCCCGGATAAAGATTTTATTAAAGTGTCTTTTTTTTTCTGCAGCAAAAACTCTTCAGCCTGAAAGAGTGAAATCCATAAACATCAGACTTTCATCCGATAAGGAGTATTACTCCAAAGGGCTTAGCAGCAGCGTGACAGTTTGAGGTTGGATTGATACGTTATACGCCTGTTAGCCCTTTCACTACACGACACCCACGTTTGGAAATCATTTAAAGAAGAACAGATTAATACTGAAATCCATGTAAATACAAAGGGTGGCTGCAGGATCACCTCAACAGTTTATACCAACATGGACATGTTGATAATTATTGTCAGTATAGTAGACAATGCATTACAGACATACACCATGATCTGGGGGCTGATGGGAAATGGTGTTCATTAAAAGAAAATTGAATAAACAGTGATATCTGAATTTTTTTTTTTACTTTAGATCTCTTTAAAGTCAAACTGAATATGTTGCAAGCACCAAGTACATCCCTGTACAGACAATTCTTCTTCTTTTGAAGAATCAGGCAGGAACAGCATTTCTTAATAACAAAAAAAAAAACGTGCTTCTGTTTCTGAAGTAGAAGAATCCAAAGTTGCCTGTCGGGGGCCATGGTGTCTTTATGACTTTGTGAATGGATAAGGAATTTAAAGTATTTAGAGAAAATGCTCCAACATTGTTTTTGACTCCCTTCGGTATTGAAGCCTGATATTTTTTGTTGAAGAAAAAAAAAAAGATGCCTTCCATCATGAAGCAGCTCAGATCTCTGTACAAGGACTTAAGGCAGGACAAGCGGCTTAACTTTTATATTTAATAAACAGGGACGAAACACAGCCAAACAAGTGTGTGGCCACGAGTCAAACTGTTTTTAAGTGAGCAGCCAAGGTGCCTTCCAACAACTGGCACTGTGAGGAAAAAAAACACTAAGACGAGAGGAAAACAAGAGAAACCAGAAGAGAGAAACGTGCATAATAAACTGATGAAAAAAGGTAAAATACAACGAATATAGTCGTGTTTTGCGGTATATATATTTCCTGTATTTACTGATATGAGACAAACATTCATGAGGCTGCAGGGGATTTACAGTGAAAGAGTAAAGAGGTCGTTTCTGTGTGAGGACCATGTCGCACTGAATGATCAGCTGCACTCGGACTGAGACAACAGTGGCTGTGAAAACCTTCCTCCTGCAACGACCCACAGGTCAGAGTGATGAACTGCCTGCAGCGGTTTAGGGGCCAAAGCTGCACACTGGATGTAAATACCACCGTCCTGATTTCCTTCTTTTTTTTCTAATAAAACAAAGGCAGGTTTGATTCTCAATTTAAATTTGCAAGTAAGTAAAAATAGGTATAATTCCATGTGCAAAGCATGTTGTGTTATTTATGTGTTAAGTTTTGTCAAAGTCACCTCAACACAACACTGTCTTGTTTTGCCGTAATTAAAGATTTTTAAAATTGTGTTTTTTTAATGAATCTGAAGTTGAATTGCTTTCATCCAGCTGCCCAGTTTGCATACAATATGCTCAATGCAATTGTTTCTGTATGGTGGTGCAGCCTTAGTTACTTTTCCCCAGTTTATTATAATCATTATTAGTCCAATTGTTAATATTTAATTGGCATTTACAGCACCATAACGCTGGTTATTGTTTGAGTTCCCCTTGCCTGAGGGTGTTGTCTGAGGCTACCTGCTGTTGTTTTAAAGGGAATAATTGTGTGTGCAGAGAGTCTGAAGTTGGGTGTGCTAACTGCCTTGCAGTAAAGGCATTGATGAAGGATTAATTCAAAGGGCATTCGGGGTTACAGCACAATATTGGACTCAATTCATCTGGTACAGTGTGGCCAAAAAGGTGCAACATGCTATTCAAGAAGTGTTTGTCCCTCAGTGTGATGAAGTAAGTTAATATTGTTCGACTGTGGATGTGTTTACCTATTTTATGCATCCCCTTGGAAGACAAGTAGAAGGTATCTACTCTCTGTTATCACCACAGTGTTTTCCTCAACGCCTCATGGAAATAGCCAATTTCTTTTGTGCGACTTGACTTTTCACAAAACTCTCCAACTCTGTGGCCATTCATTCTTATTTCTCTGCTCTATTAACCCTTGTATGGACTTCTTCTCATTACTTGTTGATATATCGGCCCATTAGCGCTTTTACTCAATTGCTGGAGATCCGACTGCGTGTGTGGCACCTGAAGTCATTCATACACATCTCAATTTGACAATACAAACTCATTAGGCCTGAGCGGTGA